CCCTCTCTCTCTCTCTCTCTCTCGGGGGGGGGGCTAAATTAGAGAAAACCAGCTCTTGGGTTGCTCAGTGTGTTCAGTGTGTTGTTTAGATCTCATAAATGCTCCTGTACTAGCAGCCTAGTCCTGGGTCCCATATGTACTGGCTGAAGCCATGTCATCTGCCTCTGCTGGGATGCTGTTTAGAGGATTGGGCTGATGGTTTTCTTCGTCCCTCAGAATATCCCGCATTTTGAAAGTTGGATTTTTACTGTAGAATTGAGCAGCAACACTCTATATATTTCTGCAACAGTTGTAAACCCTAGCCCATGCTTGGGACTTAGATTAAAATGGCCTAGTTTTTTCCGGGTACAGAACAAACTAGGCGTTTGATGTATTTTGCCACCTCTGAAAACCAGGTCATTTTATTTCAAAAGGAATGTAAAGTTCCAGTCACAGTGCACTGACTTGTCTTACAGCTTGCTTCTTGCAAAGTATGTTTCCGATCACAGGCACAGTATGTTGGTGGGAAAGGAGCCAGGTAAAACACCCGTCAATGAGGAAAGCAACATTCCTTCCTAGTTCCAAAGTGTTTCCATTTTAAGCAGGGCTGCTAAGAGGGAGTGACTAGAGGAAAAGAATTCTGGGAGCTCTGATCATGAAGTGGTCCTTGGTGTTTGGTTTGGGTCTGGGTGCTCAGATAAAAGTTTTGTCTGTGGTCCAGTGGTGTCTCTCAGTGGCATTGCTCTTAGCTGTGATGGATCATAATGACTGCACAGAAGCTGACCTTTTGCATTCCTCTGCTTAACCCAGATTAAGGTGGTAGCGAACAAAATGTCACCTTCTGCTGCTAGGGGAGAAGTCAAATCGAGACCCATGCACCTCTGCCAGGCACCTGTTCTCCATAACTTTCTGTTTGAATTCCACAGCTGCAGTGATGCTGGTGCCTGAAAGGAAAACGGAGGATGGGTTTGAAGAGCACTTTGGCATAAACTATTTGGGACACTTCTTGTTGACTAATCTTCTCTTGGAAACACTGAAGCAGTCAGGAACCCACAACCACAATGCTAGAATTGTCACTCTCTCATCAGCCACCCATTATGTAGGCGAATTGCGTCTTAATGACCTACAAAGCAGGTATGAAAAATACTTTACCATTTGTCTACAAAAACAGAAATCAGCATTCTAAAGCTTACTTTCTAGAACAAAAGAATATTATTATTAGTGTGTACACAGTGCTTTCTGTTTTCAAAATTCTTGTAACACATTTGCAGTAATGCATATCTGTCTAAATACTCCAGTCTCATGGATTCCCTGTTTGTATCACATCTTTTTTCCATGGCTGTATACATGGATTCATCCAAGAATCAGTTTTATCCTTATCATCCTTAAGATGCATTACACAGCTGAGTGTAGTTGGAAGTGTCAGCTACATTAAATCAGTAAAATAGATTTGCTTGGCTTCGCTTTTAAAAGGTTAACAACTTCAGGGTTTTCAGGTAATTGGAGGGACTTTGCTGGGTGCAAGTTTCAGTCCCTCTCTCATCACTGATTTTGGAACTGTTTTTAGGTTAAAGCATAAAAAGAAGACTAGGATTGGATCCTACCGGCTTTTCCACACAATCTTACCCAGTGCTCCTCTTCTTGAAACTCCCATCTCACCTGGATTTTATCCCATGACAGCTTTTAAAAAAAAAAATCAGAAGAGACTTCCCTCTTTTGTATTGGAAAAGCTGGTAGGACTCCATTGCTTGTGTTGTACCAAAATGTGGCTTTTAAGTGTTTCCCCAGTCCAGCACTTCTCTGCCGGCTTTCTCATTAGCTGTGTTCTGTCGGCAGCACACCCTTGCCAGCTAGCAGTCACTGCAGTATGACATGGCTCTCATTTAACCTCTCCCTTCATCCACCTGCCTGCTTTTCAATCAGTGAGTTCTTTTACTCCTGTTTCCTTTTGCTTTCTCTGCCCCATCTCTACCGCTGAGTCATCTTTCTGCTCTGGCTTAGTTTAGCCCCTTTTCAGCATTGTCAGGACTGTGCATTCTACACTTGCACCATGCAATATAGAAATTGGCACTGGCTGCAGAAATCCAGCATCTTGTTAAAACTGAGCTGTTCATTTTAAAGAGAACCTTCTCATCTTTATATCTGGGAAAAGTGGCTTGAGTAATGCCTTCTTGAATCTTAGGTGCAAGAAGGGACTGGATATCCAGTTGCAATAGAGTGGGGTATCAATTCCATTTTCTCTTTCTGCCTCGTTTCTAACAGAAGAATAAATTATGCAATTGATCAGAATATATATGCCTGTCTGCGCAAGTTATATCCAGGTTTTCTTCGTCAGAATTTGGACTATTCTAATGCAGAATATTCATTGGATTAAAAAAAAAAATAGTATCCATAGTCCATCTCATTTCCGAGATTTAAAGTAACTGCTTATCTTAGTTTCGGTGTGCTGTGATTGTTTTGCTCAACCCTTTGTGGACTGAATATCTCACATTCGTTCTGACTTGCACTCTACATTGGCATACTACCACCTTCTTGTATGACTCTCATCCCTTCTGGCTGCTTAAATCTGCCTGAGGGGCTGGTGGACTGAGTTCGGGAGATAGGAAATCTCTGCCTTAGGGAGGGGGTAGTCACCCCTGCCTTGAAAAGGACAGTGCATCCACTCCTGAACAAACCTACACTGGACCTAGGAGCACTGAATATCTACTTGCCCAGTCTCAAATGTCTACTTGCAGTCTCAAATATCTACCTGCCCAGTCTCCTTGAGTAAGGTGAATAAGTGGTAGCTGGGTGGTTTCAGGCCTGGTTATGGGACTGAAATGGCCTTGGTCACCCTTAATGGACCAGGAGATGGAGAGGGGAGGGGTGACCCCGTTAATTCTCCTGGAACTTTCAGCAGCTTTCAGTACTATCCGTCATGGTATCCTTAGGGACTGCCTTTCAGGATTGGGACCGTGAGGCACCATTTCACAGTGGTTTTTGTCCCGTTTCAAAGGTAAGTTTCAGAGAGTGGTTCTGGGAGACTGGTGATCAGCCTGTTGGCCTCTGGCCTTTAGGGTCCTGTAAGATTCCATCTTGTCCCCCATACTTTTTATATCTATGTGAAGCCACTGAAAGAGGTCATTTGGAGACCAAAAGCTCCTTACTTGCTGTTGGAAGATGGCAACAGAAGGGGACAGAAGAGTTCTCCTTACAAGGCATTTCCAGAGATTTTGTGCAGTGACTGAGAAGGCCCTCTCCTGGGTTGCCACCTGCCTAAACTCAGAAGGCAGGAGCACCCAAAGCCAGGCCACTGAAGATGACTGTAGTGGTCAAGCATGTTCACAATGGAGTAGGTGGTCCTTGGTTCCAAATGGGGCTTTAAAGGTCAACATCAGCACCTTGAATCGTGCCTGGAAGCCGATTGGGAGCCAGTGTAGATAGGCCAGGACTGGAGTGATATGGTCCCTATGACTCACGTATGACCTACTAAAGTCAATATCTTGGCTGCAACATACTGCATACATTGAACTTTCTGAACACTTTTCAAGGGTAGCCCACGTAGTGCACTTGTTGAAATCCTGTTAATGGCTGACGTGTATGGAGAGGTATAAATGGCCTCTTTTTATTCATATCACTTATGCTTTTCCAATAAAATTGTCCAAAGTGGTAATTTTATGCCACTAAATAATCCATGGAGAGGACCAGAATACTCAACATGATTTGTGCCTTCTGTTTCTTAAGCCATCCTATGGAATGAGAATGATTCAGTGATGAGACAAATGTAAATGAGAGCTTATGAGAATTTATAAAATAGAAACCTAGTTTTATGGCTTAGATTTCCATAAGAGCCTGAGCTCAAAAGTGTATAGTATATGGCATGAGAACTCAGTTACAGTTCGGCAACATGACCCCGCTGCAAATGTCCTCTGTTGTGTTTGTTGGTGACTGGCACTTTAGGTATGCTAGGCATCGGTCTTTGATTACTTACTCCGTTTCCATATTTCATCTGAATAGGTGCCTTAGTTGTAGGATTATCACATATGATTTACTCTTCACCAAATGTAATTTCTATTGTCCTGTTTCTGCCTATGATGAGTGTAGATGTTTTTAAACTGCACATTTCTAGGTACACTGCACATGCCTAGAGTATTACGTACATAGAGTATTTGAAGCTGCATCTTGGGGCAAACTATGATTTCTCCAAGACCGAGAAAACATAAACATGCATCATATTCTATTGATCAGTATCCAAAGAAGTTCTTTAGGTTTTCCAAAGAGCATGAGGATAAGCTGTTGGGATTTCTAGCTTTCTGCCCTTTCTCTCTTTGAACAACGGACATGAATCCCCAGTAGTAAATAGCCTTTGAAAGTCTGCAGATTTAAAAGCAATTTGCAGTTTAGAGAATGGCCTGCTCCTCCACTGCCCAGTTGGCAGCATGAAGTTCTTGGGAAACCTGATCCTTATGCAGAAATAGGCCATGAACATGTTTCATTTAGAGATGACATTTGGCATCCTCTCACCTCACCATGTTTCAGGCCACATGTGATGATCTGGTTGGAGCCCCTGTTCTATTTACCCAATTTGAAGATGACCCAGAAGATGACACCCCCGACCTTAAAAGGTTATACACAAAGGCAGAGGACCACCATGCTCTCCTCTCTCTGCCACATCAGCAGGCTTCCACAGTCTAGCTGTGGGAACACTCTCCTGTCTCTTCCTATATCTGCTGGCCAGAAGGCATGGAAGTAGGTAGTTGTGCCCATCCACTGGTTCACTAGGTTGCTTCCAGCTTTTCAATCCAGCTGACCGGGGAGGGGGCTTTCTTCCATCTATCTGTAGGCTCTGTGGTGGAGAGAAGCTGGATCCCCCAAGTTGCTGGGTTGTGGGGCTGAAAAACAACCCAGTAAATAGGCAAGAGCAGAAGGCCTGGCTAGAAGTATACAGGCATGCCCCTGCCAATCAGCTGGCACTCAGCCAAGCAATATATACAAATGGAAGATGACACCCTCTTTTTATACAGCAAAACAAATAAGGAATCTTGTCTTCTTGTCTTGGGGTAAATATGGTGTACCTCTAATTATTATGAAGTATAAAAGAGTAGATACAAGAAATTCTCTTAGAATATACAGATTCTTAGCAATTTAATCTTGGATATATCCAGTAGCAAACCTCTGAGTTTTGCAATGTATTTTTCTCCTTCAGTGGGGAAAGTTATTCAGACTGGGTTAGGTCACGCCTCTTCCCGTTCCAGGCAGGGCTATGCAAATATTTACGAGTCTTTATTGGCCGGATCAAGGCTGATCCTCCAGTCTGAATAACCCTGCAGCTCTGGCAGGAGGTTTCTAGCCTAGCTTTACTGTTGGAAAAGTTTGTAGGAAACAGACTTGATTACTCACCATTCAGGATGGGTGAAGAGAGATCTCTGACTCCTTCAGGGACAAAGAAAGTGGTTCCTGCAGGGACAAAAAAGAAGAAAGATTCTTTGAGGGAGAGGCCTCTCTCGCCCAAAGCTTCTGGCATCAGAGATCAGCCATGTGAAGTCCTCCCTGGTGCGTCACGGACTGCTGCAAGGTGTGAGGGACCCGAAGCTTTAGACCAGGTCACAACCTTCTTCCTAGCAAACTCAAGGGCCCCTGGTGATAAACGGCCTGTTCTAACTGGGCAGATACGGCATGAGACAGTGCTTATTTAGGTAGCTCGGAAGCTTCCAGGCAAGTGGGAACATTGTGGGAGGCTTTGGGTTTGTTTGTTTATTTTCATAGAATCATATCATAGAATCATAGAATGTTGGAGTTGGAAGGGACCTTGCAGGTCATCTAGTCCAACCCCTGCACTCTTCAGGAGTATACTGAAAGATAGCCCTGCATACCTACAACATACCCGAAAGATAGTCATCCAGCCTCCACTTGAAAACGTCCAGCGGAGCATCCACCACCTCCCGAGGCAGACTGTTCCACTGCTCAACCACTCTTACAGTTAGGAAGTTTCTCCTGATATTTAGCCAGTAACGACTCCCTTGTAATTTCCACCCATTAGATCTAGTCTTGCAATCCAGAGCAAGAGAGAATAGATCTGCTCCATCTTCTACATGACAGCCCTCCAAATACTTGAAGACTGCAATCATGTCCCCTCTAAGCCTTCTCTTTCCCAG